AAGAGTACTAAAACCCTTTTCAACATGAGTCTTACAACTAAGGCTAAATACTTTAACTTAAACTTAAATACATGCTCGGATAGGCTGGTATCGGCCAGTATCGGTATCGGATCGGAAGTGCAAAAACAATATCGGATCGGATCGGAAGTGCAAAAACCTGGATCGGGACATCTCTACACTCAAACCCCTCCACCATGACAAGGAACCTTAATTAATAAATAAAATCAGCATTGGAAACTACTCAGTTCATCTCTCATTACATGCTGTACTAACATGCTTTACCTTCATCATCTATCTTTAACCACAGAGCAGTCCTGATCATATTCTGTTGGGTATATGGTGGAAATGAGAGGTTCTCCTATAGTTTGTCCTCCTGACACCCTGATGGAAAGAAGAGTGGGTTTGTAATATTTGTCACAGCCTTGTTTTAGGGTTTGATGGAGTGGAATTACCCTAAAGGTATAGATTTCCTGCTTCGGCAAGTAACACTGTCACTCAGCACATAGCAAACACCATAAAACAATCTTCTCTCTGAAAAGAAGATCATTAAATGCAACCAAATCTAACCATTGTAAAATAATGATAAAATTAACAGTTCTTTTTTTTTTTTTTTTTTTTTTTTTTATCAAAACATTGTTTTTCTTTTGAGCATTGACAGAAAATGACCAACTGGTAGAAAAATGCAGTTAGTAATCGGTTTATAGCGGGTAAATTAGTGTCTAAGAACCACAAAAACAGCACAGAAAGTTTCAGCAGATAGTTTCAACTCTTTTCTTTGACAGTCTAAACCTTTGAGCTCATAAAGTGTCGTAGATCCTTTGGCTACTAAAAACATTCATAAGTAATTTTCCTGGTGAGTAACCTTTTTAGACTGAATGAAATGATGAAATCTAACCATGGTGACGCTACATAGTGTTTTTTGCATTAGTAATCTGTTGACTGTGTGAATATGTCCTGTTCTATGTTTTGAAGGGCCGATGGAAAACAACAATAAAGTTTTATCTTGTCTCTTATCTTAAAGATCAGTATTCATTTACATTTTTTCTTTAAAAGAATTCTTTAAATAACAAACTGTCCCAGACAAACTAAAATACCTAGCTGTAATTGAACAAACATACCTGTCAGCAGGTGCAGAAGTCTCGACTAATCATTTCCTGAACATTACAGAAATCATCTGATTTCACTGATTGCCTCAAAGTGTTACTCAACAAAATTTCGGTCTTGTTGACTTATTTTATTTATTATAAGTCCTTGTTCTCTTTGCTGTAGCTTTAATACTGCTGTTTTTTGTGTATTTGTTTTGCAGTGGAGACTCAAAGTTACTTGAAGAGGCCGTCATCCCCCTGGCCAAGGCTCTCAGTATGTCTCCTTGTTTCACCAGATTTGTATTTCAAATTAAACTCTAATTATCCATTTTCTCTAATTAAAAGAAAATGGATAGTTTATTTGAATTCTCCTTTTTTTTTGCTGTTGCAGAACAACGTTCAGATTTTTATTTGTTTCCTATTTCTTTCTTCTCTCAAGTTCAAAACAATCCCAGGACGGGGAACTTTGGTGCTTTAGTGAGGGTTTTCCTGGGGAGAACCAAGGAGCTCAAAATTTCCACAGAATGCCAAGAGTGAGTATGCAAACTTGTAGAAAGGAGGGAAAATAGATTATCTCAATGCTTTAGAGATGAAGGAGAAGATGCTATGCTTGTTGAAGATGGTGGCTTCAGTTTTTTTTTTTGTCATGAAAGATTTAACATCACAGGTTGGGTCTTTGAGATTTACTATGGTCTAATGATGACCTTCCTTCAATGGATCCCAGTGAATCTCATCCTTTATTTCCTGTTATTCCTCTTGCAAATGTACATTTCCATGTTCTGCTCGTGATAAATATGTAATTTGTATGGGTAAACATTTAGCACTTGGGAGTTGAGGGGGAGAAAAACAGTTACAGAGAAAAATGTAATGATGCAGCTTTTTGTTCTGTTTTTCTGTCACAGTCAGTTATTCATCTGGCAGGCGCATAATGCATTGTTCATGATTCGTTGCCTGGTGAAGGTCTTTATCAGAGAGATGAGTGAGGAAGAGCTGCACCATCAGTTCTCCTACCAGGAGAGGGCGCCAGGCTCCTGTGGAGGTGAGCTGTGTGTGGGGAACTTACAGTTTAATAATATCAGGTTTTAGACAATGTTGTTTTATATTTAAAGAATATAGAATATCTGAACCCAGGGAATTAAAGCATACATTATTATTTTTTTTTTTAGCTTCTGTGCCGAATTACCCCAAATAGTGAACTGTGTTTAATATTACAATTCTGTGAGAGAGAGGTAGAGATTAATAGCTTGATTTTTGGGGAAGCGAAGTTTTGATAGTTTTATTTATTTTTATATATATATGGTTTTATTTGTGTCTAATATGTCCTTTTACCACAAATGTAGAAAGTGGGAGTGAGGACCTCCTGGAGGAGCTGTTGTTGAACCTCGTTCACCTGATTGTTGAAGTACCCTTGCTGTAAGTATCTCTAAGTGTGAGTACTTAAAGATGTGTGTCACTTCAATTAAAACGCACTGAGGTATTGCATACTCTATAACCATAAGTCACAACAGTACTTATTATTTCTCAGCCTCTAATCCTTTCAGTAAATTGAGATTACCACTTGTTTAAGTGTAAGGTTTCTCTGTATAATTACTTAAATATCACTTTAAATCAGTGTAAATTTTTATTTTATTTTTTTTGTCATTATTGTGTCTTTTGCTAGCCTGGAATGCTCACTTCTCATCCCCAAGGAAAAGGAAAATCCATTGCTGTGTATACAGGCCTTGTGCTTGCAGGTTAACGGATAAGCTGGGAACACAATCAGTTGTAAAATACAAAAAGACAACTATGTAGGAGAAACATCTGAAGGCAAAGAGAAAGTGATGCTGAGGGAAAAAAGAAAAGCCTGGAAATCAAAGTTCATGAACATTTCCAGTGCGTAGGAGAGAAGAGAACATCATGTTTGAAAAATAAAATCAGCCTTTACTCCCACTGGGCAGTGCACACACTAACTCTGAATTAATGAGGGAATACTTCAGTGAGTGGGTGGCTCATCAATGGCTGAATTATTTGACTGATGGTCTACTAGACGTACAGGGAGACTGCAGCTCTGCAAACTATTCCGGTGCTCTCCACAGAGGCATCTAAACTATTTCAAACCAGTTCACAAAAAAAAAGACATTTTGGTAATTCCTCAATTTTGCAGTGTCCATTTTTTTTTCTTTCTGTTCTCATGTCAGTACTGAGTCCATTTTAACACTGTCTTCTGTCTAATTACTCTCCATTCATCCTTAATATACTTTTTTTCTCAGTTGTCTCTGGACATCAAAACCTGGCTCTTGTATAAATGCATTCAGCATTCCAACATTATTCATTGTTTCAAGCTTAAAGGCTCACTGTTTTTCTTCCCTTCACCACTTTGTGGCTGTCAGCCCATTTCCTCCGTACGTGCTCCTGCTTTGGGAACCGGGCCATTCTTTTGGTATGACCTCTGCAAGTCTGCAGCAGATTTCTGCACCCTCAGTGTCCTTATTCCACTCAAGAGACAGATGTTTTTTTCTTTTTCAATTGAATGAATCAAGCACAAACTTTTAATCAAATCATGCAATATTTACCTGAAAAAGGATGTTTAGATTATTTTTATTCATATGTGTAATTTTGAAGCATTCTTCTCCATATTATTGGAAAAGGATTCACTGTTGTAAGCAATGAATTTATTAATTCCTATTAGGAGCATATTACAGTGTAGTGTAGATCATAAAACTCTCTTTACAATTTATATTCATAATTAGCTAGATTGGCAAAGTTGATAAATTTAAACATTTGTTAAGGTAGAAATTGATTTTAACTGAGATTTCAAAAAGGCTTGCTAGAAACTTTCCCCTGTCAGCGCTATAATTTGCCTTTAAACCAGGTTTTTACAGACTCTGATTCCTTAACTTAATTTCTGACAAAAACAATTTGCAAAGAATAAATCTAACTTTTACTCAAATTCCTTCAGATACAACTCCTACACTTAAGAGTATGAGCAAGGATTTGGCCCCAGTTAAAAATCAACCATTTACAATAAGCTGTCTTTTTCTTTTTCTTATTTCTTAATAAATGTGAATCCATGATCTGCTTCTACTTCTGCAGAGACCTCACCTACAGTATCCTGTTTGAAGCAGTGACCACATTGCTGACTTTCTTCTCCTATCAACTCTTCCACAAAGAAATCCTCCAAGAGGGATTGATATATCAACACATCATGAAGGGTCGATGGTGAGAATGGCTTTCATTATTTTATTGTTTAGTTTTGTTTACTTGACTTTTAATCCATCTAAAAGTTAGAATATTACATGATAAATAAAAGTTTAAAACACACATGATGCTGCCATCTAGTCCATTTATTAAAATTAAGGGCACATAAAGTAGGGCTTGGAAATAAATAGCATTTGCTTTATAATCACAATTTTGCAAAATTAGATATTCAAATAACAGATTTTGTCAAAATTTCTCACCCCCCAGTATTTGGATATTTCTACCTGTTCAGCAAAGATTCCAACTTGCTACCTAAAAGAAATCAAAGGTGGTCTTATCTCTAAACCTTTATCATATTTTATCACTTTAAAACCACAAACACTATTTATTTTAAAGGTTGAATGGAAATAGAAATTGTATTTTCTTCACTTTTTATTTACAAATTATAAATATGAAAAGTTTGATTTTAATATGTATTCAGCCTCTTTTTATCTGTTACACCTGAATAAGATCTATTGGAACCATTGATGGTTGACTCAATAATATTTAGTAATTAGTAAAAGTATCAACTCTGACCCCACCTTTTTTGCTAAGGCCACAGAGGCTTCATGGAGAACAAGGAGCACCGCTGACAAGAGGGTGAAGCAAGGACAGATTTTCAAAAAATATCCTTAGACTAAGGATACGTTCACACTGCACCCTGAAGTGACCCAAATCCGATTTTTTTGCCCATATGCGACCTGGATCTGATCTTTTCATGGCTGTCTACAGATCCGTTTTTTTTCTTTTAATCTGACTCTGGCCACTTGGCTATGTGGCCCTGAATCCGTTATGAATCTGATCTTTTTAAATGTGACCTCTGAACGGCCAGGTCTGATTCATCCTTGCAGAAGCGGCAAGAAAAACAGCAACCATGGCGGATGATGCTCCGTAGAGTAGTAATTATGTTTAAACATATTGAAAAGATTGTGTTTTTATGGTTGGAAAAGACCGCTAGATGCGCGCCGGCACTACCATCCTTGTTTACTTCCGGAAAAAAAGAGCATGCTAGCCTGCGACGTCATTGCGTCCACTACTGTGCATCACGTCCACTATTGTGTATCACGAAAAAAATTGGATTTCACGAAAAAATTGGAATTGAGCATCAAGGCCTGCAGTGTGAACGTAGCCTTAGACAACTTTTATTGTCATTTTGCATACAAATTAATTTTCGTTTTGTAGAGCTTTCATAACATTTCCATTCCTTAAAGTGCAGCAGTGATCAAATGTAAACAGTGTGGGAGAAAAAATATGGCACAAAAAAAAAACCTATTGATATGGAAGTTCAGAGCATTAAATATGTATGGTGCATATATGCAGAGTTTTGGATTGGTGTAATCAGTGAGATGCGGAGTCAGTGACATGATTAAGAACAACAGTTCAGCTGTGTGATGGCGGTTGGGAAGATGCTATTTCCGAATCTTCTTGGCCTGCATCGTATGCTGCGAAGCCTCTTCCCAGAGTGCAGCAGGAGGAACAGTCCATGATATCCTGTAATAGTCCATAATAGCCAGAGGAATAAAAGCTTAAGTCTCATTTGAAGTTTGCCACCAATGGAAGAGGCACACTGCACATGGGAGAAGGCATCCTGGTCAGAAAAGTCAACATAGTGGAAGAAAACTAAGACTGCATTTACCTTCCTTAGCAGATTGTCCTTAAAGTAACACCTGGTGGCAACATCCTGCTTTGGGAATGAATTTTTTTTAAGCTGATCATGATTGATTGAAGGATTTAAAGATTTAATGACTGCAACAGACTGGACCAGCAGAAAATTAACCCTAGAATGGTTCACAGTGGCCCGGTCAAAATCAAGAGCCAAATCCAAATACATTTGTTGACAAGAATTGAAAAAGCAGGCTCTTCATCTAATCTGATTAATCTTAAACCAGTTTGCAAAGAATAATGGTTGAAAAATGCATCATCTAGATAAACAGGGCTGATAAAGGAATACCCCTAAAGACTTAATGTTATAGCTCCAGTAGAGCTATAACATTAAGTCTACAGGGTTGTACAGGGTTAAAGAAAGAATGTCCCCTATACCTGTTCGAGGTCTAGAAAAGTTTGGGAAACCCTGTTTCTCTTTCCTGTCACTTCACTTTTTTTACACACATTTTGTTTTTACTAATTAACTTGCATAATAGCTCAAAGAAATGCATTAAAGTTTGTGGAACTAAAGGTATTTAACGTTCTGCTGGTTTTATGGATCAATTGGATTAAATATAATTAAATTGAAATCTGTTATTTACAACTTTTAATAAAACCTGTCCGGTTTGTCTTATTGCTGATTAATTTGAGTTCAAAAAGTTACAGCTCATTGTTCTAACGTGTCTGCTCCTCTTTTTTTTTTTTTAGTTTGGAACTGACTAGCCGCTTGGTAAAGACCCTGCTCTATAACTTCATCAGGCAGGAGAAATGTCCTCCTGCAGCCCACATTTTTGAGCCGAAAGCTGAAGGAGGCCTTCTTTACGGGCTGGCGTCTGGAGTGGCAAGTACGTCCACAAACATCACCAAAATAAGTGCTGTGAAACAAAACAAACATTTGCTTTCATTCCCAATGAACATTTATTTTTATATATATTTGTTTTATAGACAATCTCTGTTGTTTTCTTCTAAACCTATAATTATGCTTTCATTTTTTTTTTCCTGCTTCTCATAAATGAGTTGTTGGCTCCTTCAGGCCTGAAATATGTTCCAAGAAAACATTGCGGTGACATTCTCTAAGCAACTTATCAAGAATTAATTATTAATTTTCTATAAAAAAGCTGTAGTGTAAATTTAATTAACTTAAAGTTATAGTTAATCATTGCCAGAGAGTGAGAGAAATCTGATTAATGTGGACGAGAGTGAGCAGTAAAAAAATAATCCCAGATTTATTGTTTCAGACTATTTTCAAAGGCCTATGTGCGTTGATGTGTGTGTGTGTTTGTGTATTGAATTTGTGTGTTAATGTTAGGGGAGGGCAGGGTTTCCCCCACGGATATATGCTCTTTGTTGGTTGCAGATTCCTATCAGTGAGCAATCATCATTCAGCCCAGCCTGTCTGTCTCTCTGTGGCCAGTTGATCGGCTTGATGAGTTATGGTCCCTTGTCGTGTCATGTAATCCCTCAGAGCCTGTCTGTCTGCAGCCGCTTGCCTTGAACACACACAAGCCGACAGAGACACAAGCTTTTTTACGTACACTTGAAACACTTGTTCTCCTTCTCTGTGTCAAATGATTTAAACCGTCATGAGATTGGTGGGGCGGGGGGGTACAACGAATTGATGTTTTCCGTGTGACCACAGCGGATTTCTGTGGTATGTTTCTCCTGGCTTAGTCTTTGTGAAAATACTAATCATTTAACTTGGAAAAGTTACATCTGGTTATTTTTATAAAAATGTTTTCATTATTCTCAAAAGTGTGGCATGCAAGTCTGAAGTTTTCCTTCATCCTTTTTTTTTCTCTTTTTTTTAGAATGAGGAAGTATTAAGATGTTTTGGACAGCATTAATGAAGTCTTTTTATAGATTCTTTGGTGGATTTAGCTCCTGGGGACGTGAATATTCCTTAATCTAAACCATTGTGCTATAGACAGGGCTCTATGCTTACAGTCATTTATCCAACAAACAGGTTCTCTAACTGGATTTTCCTTTATTTACCTCTGACCATCTTCCCATCAACCCTGCCCATTGCCTCATTCTTGTTTCATAAAGGTTTCCCTACAGAATAATCCTTTCACTGACATGTCATACCATGTTGATGGCATGATCAGTATACAGTGTTGAACCAAACACTGAGCTTTAAGTGGAGCATCACAACCAGGTCCGTGTTGTTCTGAGTGCACAAGATGTGTATGTATATATATATGTATGTATATGTGTATATATATATATATA